TGTTTGTTCCAATGGGCTGTGTTCTGCCTAAGAGCTTTTCATTAGGGTTGGTTCATAACCCAGTTTTTGTGTCATTGTGGGTCAAATCCTTTCCTTAACCTCTGGTTCCAAAGGCTCTGGAGAGCTTGTTATAACCATCTTTGTCTCTATGTACGCATCACTGGAATAAGCAAAGAAAGAGTGACAGAGCCTTCATAATTTGCCTTCTGTCAATGCTCAGGAAATACTCTGGCATCTGCTCAATGGGCTGCACTACAAAGAAACCATTTCTCGTAGTGATAATGATAACTATTTGCATAGATTCACAGAACTAGAAAGAGCCTTCTAGTTCTTTTCTTTCAATTCCTCTTCGATTGGCTAAGGCAGGAAAGAGAAGCTGCTTTGGGTGTGCTTGTCCAGGGCTTTGGGTAGAGGAAGCAGGCCACCTGATGACGGCAGAGGAGCCAGACTGAGTCTTTATGAAGTGTGCATATTCTGGCTGCCTCGAGTGGGTTCCTAGGATAAACCTTGCCTCCTCAGGAAGTGAAGGGGGGAAGCTGAAGCTGTCTGTCTACTTGTGATTTGATGACTGTGATTTTACTCTTTGTAAGAATTACTACCCAATCCATTGTTCTTGTGGACCAACTGACATCCTCTGATCCAGCTTTTTGTAAAGTTGATATTTTAGTCTCCATATGCCTAACGTTTCCATTGATTCCAAATTCAGAAGGGTAAGGGGGCTGTTATTTATGAGTACTCTGAGAACTCCCTACAGGAACCCTCTGGACATTGCGGATGCTGTTCACGCACTGATCCGTACCACCTGCCATTCCTCTGGCTTCAGCTACTTCATCTCCCTCTGCCTCCGCCTCTAGCCCTGCATCCATGCTGTCAGAGGGGAGGTTCAATACAGCCAACCCCCTTCCTGCAAATACGTTATGACTTTCCCAGGCCCAGTTATGGTCCTGATCGCCTGATGTTCTGAACTGTCTGCCATTGGAGATGCGTACTTTTAAGAACTACACTGGTTTTCATAAATCTGGTTCCTTAATACAAATACATTACCCGGTGTTTTCATATATTTGCTAAGGTTGGGGTAAGAGAACTCTAAAGGCCCATAAATTCAAGGTTTGGTTGTCAGCCTGTGACACCACTAAACTTTTGAGAGAGCTGGTCAACTGGGAGGAAGTTAGGTCATTGGGGATATGCCCTTAAAGGAGATGCTGGCACCCTGATCTTATTCTTTCCTCTTTCTGATTTCTGGCTTCCAGGAAATGAACAGGCCTCCTCTGTCATATGACTCCACAGTAATGTACTCATTACCACAGTTGCCACAGGGCAGGGAAGCCGAATGACTGCAAGTGGAAACATCTGAGAGTCTGAGCCACCGGAGAGCTTTCCTTGAGGTTGGTAGACCTTGTCTGAATGTAGATAACCCATACATTGTTATCAGCAAGGAAGCGGATGTTCTGGGTTCAGATAGGAAGGATCTCAGACCTGGGGCCTAGTCTCCTCATTTGAAAAATGTCAACAGAGCAGCTAAAGTAACTCAGAGTACACTGCAGCAGAGACAGCCATAGTTGCTCCATGGCTCAGCACAACAAAGATTTATTTCTAATTTCATACAAAGTTTACAGTTCACCTAAACAATATTCCTCCCTGCATAGAGAATAATTGGGGGCTGGAGAGATGGCTCAGCCTTTAAAGGCTAGGCTCACAACCATAAATATAAGAGAATAATTGGACTTCTCTTACTTGGTCTTTGCAATAGGCAAGTAGGATAATGTATATATAATTGGTGGGTACCTCACAGAGTAGGAAGAGAGCATGGAGAGGTTTTTAGGAAGTCTTGGAAATCTTGAAACGGGAGTACAAATGACTTAGGCGCCCATGTATGTCATAGAAGATATAAAAAATACTAAGCCCAGAATATCTGCTTTGTCCTGCTTTCTCCTTAGTGACCTCTATGGTCAGTTGGGTTTGCTTTCTGTCAGATGGACATGCTCATTGATCCTCAGATGGTGTGGGCCACAGAAGGGAGCACGATTCATTTACATGATCTCTGTTTCCAAGACACACTCTCTTTGATAAATATAATATCTAATCACAGCGTGGCAAATGAACTTACATTCACCTTTATTTTGCTGGTGGAGGAAGCTGGCTCATACAGATTCTAAGCTGCCTTCTCATGCTCTGAGTAGAAAGAGCTAGTCATTGTGGAAGGTGAGTTTCAACCCAAATGTATCTGACCCCAAAGTGTTTGATTCTTTTAGACCTGGGCTAGGCAGTCTTTTCCTACCATGCCATCTCCAGGGTAGTGCTGGCACTCACCATGGTGCTTTCCCAAGGGAGACAATACTGCCAAACCCAGTCCAGGTGTTATGTTGGGGCAGCTGCTGCTTGGCTTTTCCTGTGGACCTCGTTTCTATGCATTCCAGATGGAGAGGATGACAATGGAACAAGGAGACAAATCCACCTATGTATACCTTCTAATGATTTCCTTGTGGTGACTATAGGAACCCAGGTGAGGGCATCAGTGAGAGATGTACATGTGTGTTAGCAATTACCTTTCATGGGTAGGGAAACACGGACACCAGAAAGAAAGGTGTGCAAGAGCCTGGCCTAAAGAGTTTATCTCCAGGCCTGTTATTTCAAGCTCTTTTTGGCAAACCTTCCTTCCTTCCTTCCTTCCTTCCTTCCTTCCTTCCTTCCTTCCTTCCTTCCTTTCTTTCTTTCTTTCTTTCTTTCTTTCTTTCTTTCCCTTCCTTCCTCCTTTCCTTCTCTCATTCCTTCCTTCCTTTCTTTCTTTTTGTTTTGACAAACCTTTTCATTAAAAAATTTCCTTCATGAGGCAGCCAGTAGGTAGGACCTCAGATCAGATGCATCTGTTCACCACAGCTGCCTCTACTAAGACATTGCATCTCGTCTTCAGGGCTCTGTTTAAATGTTGTCTCTGCAGAAAGGCTTCTACTGACCCCTTCTCAATGAGTCCCCCGTATGCTTTCGAGAGGCTGGGAAATAGAACACTTAACAGCCTGATTTATCTTTGTTTAGGGTCAGCTTTGACACTGCCTGCATGGAGACCTTTGTATGCTACTGAAAAGCCTTCCATCTCTTAGTTTCCTCATCTGAAAAATGGGGAAAAGGGAGCATATTTAACAGGGTCATGGAGTCAGTGAGAATTTAATTGCTTGATGTAAATGAAGTATTAAAATATCTGGTGGTTTCTGGGACACTCAGGGAACATGGGCTGTTAGAGTTAACACGCCCTGTTTTCATCCTCATGTCAATCATCTGTTGATTTGTTTGTCTCTTAGAAAGTCTAGCAGTGAAGCAGAGACTGCTTCATATTCACCATCACATCTCAGTAGCAGTACCTCCCCTGGGCTATATGTGTCGTGTCAGTGTTTGTTGAACACAGTCATGGAGAATGTATGTAAGAAACTATACAGATGAGGGCTTCAAAAATGGTTTAGACACTCTCCCTGCCTTTAACAAACATGTGATCTAGCAGGGAGGTAAGGCATTTGCAAAAAGCCGAGTGTTGGGCAGAATAGAGATGGAGCTTTTACATACTGACTTCCAGTGGGGTGCTCATGAAGTCAGCAGTCAAAGGGGCCAGTCTCTTGGCACATCTGTCCAGCCTCTAATTGTCTTCATCACTGTACCCGAGGACAACAACAAAAACCAAAAGCAACCCTATGCATTTTATGGTTATTTCCTAGTGGGTGTTTAGACTATCTAGCTGAATTAAAAGCAATTTATTTACTTCAGTATTAAATTAATATAAATTTTCCCTTTTTTTTTCCCTCATTGCAAAGACAATAAATAGGGTGCATTTTGTGGCTCTTTCCAGCATCCGCAAAAGCACACAATTCCCTTTCCCTGGGCTGCAGAGGGCCAAGCTCTCCACTCAAGAGCTGTGTCAGAGTGTTCCATACTATGGCTGAAGCCAACCCTCTCTCTGTGGGTTCATCCACAGAGGAATGCAGGTTCACCGGTCATTGGGTTGAAAATTATTTGAAGACAAAACCATTTCTATAACTAATATGTAAAGAAACCCTTTTTTGTCATTACCTAAATAATAGTATAGAAAATGTGCACTTAGCATTTTTCTTGTATCAAGTACTTGAAGTAAATCTAGAGCTGCTTTAGAGTATAAAGGAGGAGATTCATAGATATATGGAATTGCAATGCAATTTTACTGAAGGAATGTTAACATCTGTGGATTTTCTTTTCTGTTAGGGTCTTGGAACTAGTCTCCCGGGAAGAAAACTGAGTATTTTTTTTTCTTGTTCACAGTTTGGTAAACTTGATACCATCTGCTTTGTTCAGGACATGGGTGCATGGTAGTGAGTCCACTTTAATTTGAAATGTTCACAACGTTCAAAGCTAGGAATAAGGAAAACATTAGGGATGATCAGTCTATTTTAGAAACAAAGAAAACTTCCTTTTTCTGAGGCTCTTTGGCTGGCACTTGCTTCAACTGGTGCCTAAACTCAAATTGTGAGAATAGATAAAAATAGCAGATTATTTTTAAAGGTTGATCTACTTGAGAATACCTTAAGGGGTTCCAAGTTCTTCGTCAGCCTATGGAGAGGACCTGTCTGGAGCAGCCATGGGCAGTCTGCACTTATCTCTGCATCCTGCTGTCTGTGCATGTGGGGTTAGATATGGGATGCTGTTGCCAGGCATGGGAAAACCCTCTCAGTGCATGCAGTCAGTAGGTAAAGGTTGAGATATCCAGTGTGGCTGATGCCATTTGTCCTCTGATTCTTACTTTGCTCTGTTGCCTTGACGACTGTCTTGAAAGGGAGACTGTCTGGAACACAGAACACTTAGAAACCCACCATGGAGCTTGCCCATGTTTCTGTGGCTGTGTTCTCCCTTTTAGAAGCATGGGTTCATGATCCATCATGAGACTGTGGCCTTGTCCTAGTCTGTCCCAGCATTCCAATCATCTCTGTCTGCAGCAGGTGGGGCATGGCTTCCATCATGCTGCAAGTTCTCCAGAGGAAGCGTGTACCCCAGGGAGTCTCTGAAATCACAAGCATTTAGAGGAAAATTGAAGCTCTGTGGAATTTCAATCTGCTTTCCCTAAAAAGGCATATAGTTTTAAATCATTGCTCTATTAAGCCTTTTGTATTCCCCAGCTAGTACTCTCTGTGTTTCCTTTTTTTCCCACCCACTCCCTTCCTTGCTTCTCATTTATTCTATCACAGCTCTCTTCTCATGTGCCCCAGTGACTCAGAAGGGGCTAACAGTTTCTAATTTGGCCCCCTGGAGAGTAACTTCTGTCCTAGCAGTTGGTCCATTTGTCCCAACGAGATCTACCAAAAGGACTAAGGGAGCTTTGTGGCCCAGGACTTTAGTGTGGAGGATGCTTTAGAGCAAGGAAGTCATATCATACATAAGTCACAGAAACACACCAAGTGTCTGGCTGCTAAGCCTGTGCTGCTTATATTGGAGTGACACAATCCCCACCAAGGTGAAGATGAAAGCTAGAGCTAGAATTCTGGGGAAGGGAAACAGAGGCCAGGATTTAGTGGTCATGTCCTTTAAGGGTCGTTGAAGTAAAGATATATGCCTGGTGTTTGCTGGTGACTCTGCTAAGCATCTAGAAAGCACTCTGAGGAAGCTTAGTGTAACAAATATATTTTATATATGAGGAAACTGAGTCAGAGTAGAGAAAACCATATCCACTCTCATGTAACCAAACAGCATAGCTAAGAAGAGAATGTAGATTTCTTAAGATTCCAGCCAATGCTGATTCTTCTTAGTCTCAGTTTTAGGATATTACTCTGGGACAAAAGAGTTGAAAGAGCTCACACAGACAGGAGACAACTATTGTGTTGGGGTTTATACCATTAGACATTCTTAGGAAACACAGAGGGTATTCAAGATCCTTGGAAGAAGTCAATGTACTCAAGTGAAGTCTATGTACTCCTGTGATCTTTAAGTGACATTTGACCACTGTCATTCATTCTGTATGTGAAGAGTATGTGACACACTGGCAGACACGGGGAGCAAGACAGTGGCTTCGTCCTGCACATACTTACCAAAGGTATGCACAGCAGGCAGGATTTGGCCACATACTGAAAGAGGAATTCAACGGGAGTTAGTCTCAGCAAATCTTGTCAAGTAGAAAAAGCAAAACTGATGTGTGGGAACAGGAGTATCTTGTCTTGCTCTTTCTAGAACATAAGTTTCTTATAGCAGAAGACCTATGAATCTGTGTATCATCCAATTAACTATCTGTCTGTCTATCTATCTATCTATCTATCTATCTATCTATCTATCTATCTGTCACCAATTTCTCATTTATCTATTCATTCATCTATGTATCTATTATCCATCTATCATTTATCCATTTCTCATTTATCTACCTGCCTATCTATTCAACATCGATCTATATATCTATTATCTATCTCTATCTATACATCTCTATCTATCATCTATCGTTTATTTCTCATCAATCTACTTATGAATATATATGTATCTATCTAATTTATCTGATCTATCATCAGTTTTCATCATCATTATATATCTAATTTATCTAATATATTGTTGTCTATCTTCAACATTATCTATCTATCATCTATGTCTGTCTTTTTTCTATGTATCTATCTATGTATCTATCTAATTGATCATAAATCTTATCATCTTGATCTAATTTGTATAATCTATCATCATCTGTCTTCATCATTGTCTACCTACTTATCTATCTTCTATTTGTCTATCTGCCTATCTATCTATCTATCTATCTATCTATCTATCTATCTATCTATCATCTACATACCATCTATCTATATATCTGTCTATCTATCTATCTATCTATCTATCTATCTATCTATCTATCTATCTATCATCTAGATATGTATCTATCTAGCATCACTTTATCAATCATCTATCCATATATTTATATCTGTCAAATCTCTGTCACCTTTCTAATAGATATTAACTTTTACTTGTATATTTAGATCTCATACTGGAGTTCATGTTTTTACTCTTTAAAAAATTTCAAGTTTCCTACATATATAGAATGATTTTTTTGTTATTTTCACCCCATATTATCTTCCTCTCCTTCTTTGTCTTTCTGCTTAAATTTTCTTCTTTACAACAAGCCACTCTCCCACACTTCTTTCCTTTTGTTTGTGTAACTTATTGAGCTTGATCGCAGTTGCTTTCGCAGACATAGGTAGGAGCTATTTCTTGGAATCTGGGCAACTTATCAGTGGCTGTACTAAGGAACATGACACTGTTTCCTCCACCATCAACTATCAATGGACTCTTCAGGGAGGGAGAGAGCGGCATGAAACCATTCTGCTTCCACAATGAACAGGCCTAGTACTATGGAAATCTTGTGTAGATTACAGTTTCAGTGAGTTTATGAGGGTAATGATGGCCTTATTGCATCTGGAAGATGTGTTTTTTGCGGCACACTGTCCAGTGCTCTAAGTTGTACGTTCTTTTCAGCCCCTTTTCTACAATGTTCCTGGAGCTCTGGAGTGGTAATATGGATGCTGCATTTGGGAATGAGTACTCCACACTTTGACCAGTTATATGTCTCTGCATAATTGCTGTCCACTGCAGTATGATTCTCCGAAGAAGGGCTAGAGCAGCATTTACCTATGAGCATTTAGAAGAGAGTCTGAACACATGCCCCTTTAACAAAACCATAGTAGTAAGTTCTCCTTAAGGACCAATGACCTTCCCAGCTACTAACTGTTTGTGAGGCTTACAGAATTAGTTGTGAATTTTCTTTTGTGGAGCAGGCCTCGAATACAAACAGACAGTGACTGGTTGTCTCCATAACCATCACACCACTGTCACACCAGCTGAGTACAGCTTACCTGTAAAGCTGTTATTGTAGCTTCCAGGGTTCACAACTCGCTAAAACTACCGAGGAATTTTCTCTTCCAGCAGCCTGTGTAAGCAAACTTCTGTGAAAGCTAGCCTGCAGGAAGAAAGCTCCCAGTTCAGGTCCAGCTTGATCTCTCCATTTCCTACGACTGAAGTGTACAGTGTCTTCAGCCATAGAGCTTTACCATAAAGTGCTGTTGGGCAGCCAAGAGCAATGGCAATAGTCTAAACTGTTCTAGGGATCTCTAGGGCCTCCCTGACCAAGAGCTCACGGGTAGCTATCTTATACTCGGCACTAAACTTTGTGCTAAATAGATTATGTCTTCAGAGTGGAGCATTATTTACCTAGGCAGGGGAGTCATGTTCAATTTTTTTAAAATTATATTTATAATAAGCTTATAAAGTAGGTTACAATATGGCTTTTTCATACATGCTTACTGTTGGTCCCTTCCACATCTCATTCTGTGTCATAGTCTATAATCTCTTCCACACTTAAGCCTTTCCACTGTCCATTTTCATCTTATATCTGTTCTACCATCCCTCCTCCCTCAAGGCCTTCCTTCCCCCATCCCCTCTAATGGCCATTTTCTATTTTCCTGGCCTCTGCATACCCTCCAAGTTAAATGTGCTACCATTAGAAGTCAGCCTGTCTATGAGAAGCGACGTGGCTTTTCTCTGTCTGGCCCTGGGTTATCTCATTCAGTATTTATTTCAGACGATTGACACCTAGGCTGGATACATTTCTCGGCTATTGTGAATAAGAACAGGGATGAGCGTGTGTGTGCAAATATCTCTGTGGCAGAATGTGGAATATTTTTGGTAAATGTTCAGCAATGGTGTAGATGGTCTGACATAAGTTCTATTTCTAGTTTTTGAGGCTCACCCAAGGTGATTTCCACAGTGGCTATACCTATCAACAGTGAACAGAGGATCCATGCCCTTTACATTTTCACTAATGTGTTTTATCACTTCTTGATACTTGCCATTCGGACTGAATTAAGATAAAATAAATACTCAAAGTAGTTTTAGTTTTAATTTATAGCAGAGGTCTCAAATATCCTTCTGTTAATATGCTTCTAGGCCTAGTTAATTAAAAAAAAAGCCCAATAAAACAATTTAGATTAACTTTTTGTTGCTGTTGTTTTGTTTGTTTGTTTTGGTGCTAGAGATTGAACTCAGGGCCTTAGACAAATCCCCTGTCGCCCACTAATACTCTCAGTCACACCTAGCTTAACTTTTGTAGGATTTCTCAGGTTGTCCTTTACAAACTCATAGTGATAATCAGACATTCAGCCAATTATTAGGTGAGGAAAGAGGACAATGAGATTAAGTTCATTATTATTGGCATAATATCAAATTAATCCTTTAAGTATTAAGCACTTGCTATCATGTCATCCACAGAATAAAGCCACTGAACTGCAACTTCATGATTAAGTGTGTAATCTAGTCCATTCTGTGAGAGAGGACAGTTTCCAAAGAGGGCCTCAGTTGTCAAATATATCAATCCTTTCTTCATAAGTCAGAAATGAGCACTCCTCCCCAGGGTTAAGAAGAAGCTGGGGCTAGACTTGGTGGTGCATACCTTTAAACCCAGCACATGGGAGGCAGAGGCAGTTGGACCTGTGCATATTAGAGCTACTTAGTGACACTGTGTGTGTGTGTGTGTGTGTGTGTGTGTGTGTGTGTATGAGAGGTGGGGCACAGTATCCACCCTTATCTTCTCTGTGTTAGGTTTTTCTAATAGCCCGATTAAAAATACTTTAGCAACTTCATAGATCTATAAAGTCAACGTGCTGCCTTACTTGTAGATGGAGGAATAGAAACTCTTTGGAGATTTAGCTAAGAGAAGCTTGGGATTCTGATCGGTGCAAGGCTCTATGTGTTAACTCAGTACATTACAGTTTTGAGTTTTAGTCCAAGTCATCCAGAAATGTTAAACAACGCGCACACATGATTAGCACATTTTTTCACGACTAACATGACATTACCTTCACATTAAAGTCTTGATCAGATATGGTTTGCTAGATCACGTTAGGAATTTCACTGTGTAAGCTACCTCCCCTCCCCCTCTCAGTGTTGGGAACCTAACCTAGGGCCTGGTGCTTGCTAGGCAGGTGCTCCTCCACTGAGCAAAATCCCTAACTCTAAATTCTAAAGATAGTTTTTTTTGGTTTTTTTTTTTCAGTTCCCCTGGAGGTCTTGGGAAAAGACACGTATCAAATACAGGAAATGATCCTGAGGGTGTAAGGTGGAGGAACAAGAAGCATTCCCCATGTTGAACAGAACTGTTCTCTTATAGCAGTGGAAGAGAGTTCAATTGGTTTGTGCATTCAGGCTGATACTGTCTCAAGAAAACACAAAGGCAGCCAGAGTCTGTGCTAACGCACTGTCTACAACAGCTTCCCCCCCACCCCCCAATTTCTAGGTTTTATTGTCTAAACCTGACTCATTCTCTCTCTCCTCTCTCCTCTTCTCTACTCCCTTCCCCCTCTATCCCCCTCCCCTCCTCCAGAAAGACTACCATGTCCGGGGTAAACAGCAGTGGGTTTTGTACCAGTTCTCCTCCTCATTACAACAGTGACTCTGGCAAGCCACATGACTTGCATGATTCCGGCTTTTTCACCTTGTGATCTTGAACTTACCTATACCCAGGCTTCAGATGAGGATGTAGATAAAACTGTCACCGAAGGCTTTCGCTGCCGGGCAGGCACATGTTGTGACAGTACCGCCACCCTCACGGAACCTACGCTGCTGCTTCATCTATATCAAGTCCTACAAATGTTACATTCCTTTTCCCTGCGTAATTAATTCCCAGTTCAGGCACGTCTGATAAGACAAAGCCTGTAACACTGCCAGGGTCCGGCAATAAAGAGAAGTCCGAGGAGGTTTCGCTTATTCAAGTGGAAACTATTTTATTTCTTGTAATAAGTGGGCTCATGAATCAATTCTGTGTGATCTCATTGTGGACAGTGGCCAGAGTGGCCGGACCTCTGTAGTCAGGAGACATAAAGGCACAACTCCAGCTCTAGACACTTTGAAGAGTGATGTCAGGTTTAACTGACAATTTTCTTGCAAGGATTGACCCATGGTTTTAGCCAATGTACCAGAAGGCAAACTTCCCAGGAGGAGTCTACACCGTATTACTACTGTTACTTTACCTTTAAAATTTATGTATTTATTAGTTTAGACTTTTATAATTTTGAGAATTCCGTATGTGAATACTGTATTTACATCATTTCTACCCCTCCTTTCCCCCAACTCCTCCCATGTCATCTCTTCACCAAATCCATTCCATGATATCTTCATTAGTTACTGTCTCATACACACACACACACACATGTGCACACACACACACACACACACATACACACACACACACACAAGAAGTTGTATATTGTGTTTTTTCCTCAAGTTTTATATTGATGAGCTACTGAAAAATCCCTCTTGTCTTTAGCTTAGCTTCTCTCTCACCATCCTGCTTTTGTCCACCCCCTTCCATCTGTAGACTGGTGAGGTATTTTCCAGCTCATAATAAATGTCCACCCACTTCTGCCCTGTGCACTATCCAGGACATACTATACACACACTGTATTATCCTTGCTGGCCCATTTCCCGCTATGCCACTTCTCTTGTGGACAGTTCTTATGGAGAACAAAGGGAAATTCTTTTTGTCTTGTTCCATATGCAGCTGGGAATTCCTTGGTGAGGAGTTTTGGTGTCAAAACTCCTGTAGAGGAAAGGAAGCTGGAAGCATCTGTCCTCCTGTTCCGTTTCTGTCACCTCCATCTTCTGTTTGGGTTCCCAAAGCAGAACAACCTTTCATGGTTCTATCAATTAAAAAACCAATGATATATTTAACTGAAGTTTGAATGTAGTGACCACGAATATCATTGGCATGTGGAAAATTAGCTTCCACAGTGCAAATATCAGTATTATCAATGCACATTTAGATCCTGATTCCTTGGCTAGCTGTAGATTTTATGCCTAAAGAAATTGGGACATCCAATCACAGTTTTTTTCCCTCTGAGAAATGTGACCTGTGATTTTCACCTCTCTGTGTTTTTCTTTGTACCTCTCATTGTGTAATGAGAGGCAAGAACGGGGCATCGTTTATAGACATTTTCAGGTTTTTGCAAATTTCTGCTCCTTTATCTCCATTTTAGGATTACTTATCAGAATAAAGAGTGCAAAGTTGACACTGTTATTGTGATAATTTTGCATGTACTTTAATGTTTAAATAAATGATTTGCACATGCCTGTGTTCGATTTATTTTGTGGTTTTTTGATGTGTGTATATATGTGTTGTGTTGTGTGTGTGCTGCATTGCCTATGTATATGCAGGTGTGTGTGCATGTGAGAGTATGTGTTCACGTACACAGACGTCAGAGATAGACTTGGGTTGTCTTCTCCTTAATCATTCCCTATCTCTAATTTTCAAGATTAAAATTTAATTACATTTCCTTCTTCTCTTTCCTCCTCCAAACACCCCCATACACCTCTCCCCATTCTTTTTAAAATTTATGACTTTTTCATGACTCGTTTTTCATGCATACATATGTTCATACATATATATTCCTAAACAGAGCTCGTTCAGTCCATATTATGTCATTTGTATGTATGCTGTCAGGGCCGTTTGCCACTAAACAACCAGTTGGTGTGCTCTCCACCTGTAGTTTGTGAGACAGGGTCTTTCCATGAACCTGAACTCTATTTAGTTGCTGTGCTTGCTGGCAAATGAGCTTCAGGGACCCCACCCAGCTCCGTGCTGGAGTTAGAGGCTCATACAGTATACCAGCTTCAGCAGCACGCTGGCTTTTATGTGGCTTCTGGAGATCCAGACTCAGATGCTCCTGGCCTGTTGGGAGATACACACTTTATTGACCGAGCCATCTCCTCAGCTCCTTGCACTTTATTTTCAGCTGCAGACTGCTTAGAATAAACTTCATAATCAATTATGATTTGCTTGAGTTCTCTGACATTATAGTGTGGATGAGAATGTAAGCGTACACTGTTTTTC